ATTGCAAATATTTACAATTAAAAACTCATGTTTCAGCATGTTGCAGCATTAGATAAACACGTGAACGTTAATTGCACAATAAATGATCATTTTAATCATAAAATTAGTTTTGAACTTGACTCAATAGTAGTAACACACTAGAACAAACAAAGTTATATCAAAATATTCTGCGGAATTTGATGCGCACTGTAACTGCATCTCGTGGGAGCGTGTCACACGTGTTGAGACTAAATTATCGTGGCGAGCACATGTGGCATCTGAGTGATGAATGTTTCTCTTTTAATTTTACAACACGTTTAGTTTTTTCTGTATTTAATTTTCGCGAACATGTCTGATTTTAAACGATGTTGGCTAAAGTATATTTTCGAATCTGTTTAGGAGAAAACTCCTACAAAAGTTCTAATAATAACACGAATTTTCAACAAACTTTTCGACGATTATTCCTTTATAACTTTCACGCTTCATTCGGAACTTTTAAGACGCAGTTGTTCGAATTAATAACTTACGAGACAGACTTATCCACTTCCATCAACGTGTTTAGTGATTGTTGCTATGCGTCGTATTTGACAGGCGAGGATCGATTCAATACCAACTAATCGATAGCTCGAGTTCAATTAGTATTTTTGAATAATTAAAAAGAGAAATTCACATCAGTGGTGCAGCAAACTAACAAACATGTTTTGAAGACTGCTCCAAACATATTTCAATTTGAAATTGAATCAAATTATCCTTGAAATGCCCTTAATAAATCATGACGTTTACCATCTGTAAAATTGGCCAAATTCAGTGGACAATACTCACCTAAACTTTAACTAAGGTTCAAGGATTATAGCGGTCAATTTTATTTGAGACTATTAAATGAACTAAGTACTTTGTTTATACCCTACACATTTTTATTTACCCTAGGTACTTTATTCGTAATTGGTCTGTTTTATAGTTTAATAGTGTGTGTTTGATCGACATCGCCCTGCGGAGAAGTTCACGGTCAAGAACGAAGGACTTTCGATTTCCATTACTCATTACCAAGCTGCCAAGCTATCATGCCCTCACAACATGCCGACAGAACATGCAATATTATTTCTTTATGAGGAATAACACACCAACAATCATTTTCTGTTGTTATCAAGTTCGTTTTTCTTTTTTGTACTGCAATGAAATGACTTTCAATGCAATTGTTTAATGTACAATGAGATGACTATCAACTTTTCCGTGCCATCTATTCTTTTCATGTCATTTTTGTGAAAATGGTAAAAACAAGACAGTAATCAAGATAGTACTACCCTGCATTGCAGTGTGTCAACCTAGGACAACAACAAATGTTCCAAAACATTAGCGTTATCGACATTATTATATAATACAAAAGTAAACATCGTTTTTATTTACTGTAAGCACACGGAAAAAATGTGTTGGAATTTTCAGATCAATCGATAAATTGCGTACTAAATCAAAAAATTTTTTTATAAACATGTGACACTTTTCATTGTTTTTAAATTAAATTTTCATTAAAATTGACACCTACACTTACAATAGTTAATATTTTTATTTTTATATTGCTATATTTCTTTTAATGTCGTTATGACGCATATCCTCATGCTTCATTTCCTCGTGCATTCGTTAAAATTACTAAACAATGCGTGTTTGCCCACGCACATCTAATTACGTAAAAATGTCGAAACATTATTCGCTGTGTTTGTCATAGCACGTTGATTCATCCGCATTGCGTATACAACCCACATCCAGCACGTTATCATGCACATTTTGTTACACACGTGACCCACCCATGACTATCCTGGTGCTCCAGACTTACTTTTGATTAGAGATAAGAAATTTTCTTAAATGACTCCAAAAATGCTAAAAAGGTTTTGTTTTACTAGACCCAGTAATTCCTTGTTAAAACCTTGTTACTGAATTTGTCGAAAATCAAACAGATTGCAACAAATTCATATGAAAATGTTAAAAGCATGAAGACAGGACTGACGCAAACGAAATAGTTAAAGATGTAAACAATGAATGCACCAATGCTCCAATAGTGAGGAAGCGTAGCAAAGTAAAAGGTGAATGTTTTGCTGACGAATGAAAACTCAAACATGTTTAAGTGTGTACTTTGGACATCAAAATGTAAACTTGAACTTTACTCTTAAGATGCAAATAAACTTCACGGTGAGTTTGGAGAAATGTTAAATAAATTTCCTCGCTTCGCAGACTTTTGGCGCACATTCTCATGCATACGTCAATAGCGTCATAAATTTGTGAAAATTCGAAATTTTCATATTGCATGTAAGTTTTAATGTTTGCCGGAATCGTAAAACGCGTTCATTTTTATGCGTATCAGTAAATAAATTATGAAATAAAAATAAATCTCTCAGCGAAAGTAGCAACTAAATTCATTTTTATGCGATTTTATTTGATAGTAAAACATAATATATACCGAACTTCTAATGAGATTTTTCCAAGGTACTCATATCTCTATATTTCTTTTTAGACGGACATAATGTTAATTACTTTTATTTCGTTTATTGCTTCACGCGGCAGAACATTCATCATACGCGTGCAACAATGTTTGTAACCAGGAAATGAGATTTAAAATGAGAATTAAGAGCGTTGCAAACCATTCAATAACAATAATTGATATTCTAGAACTGTAAATGCGACAACGTGCAGAAAACCTCAAACCGTTAACAATAACAAACAATATTTTTATTTTTATCATATACCTACTAGTAAACCAGTTCATAGCTGATCACTAACTTAGACTTACACCTATCTTTGCTAGATATAAGCGTTTTAAACCTCTCTGTTGTATTTTCCTATTTATTTTTACCTTCAAGAAATAATTTACTTGCACTGGAAGGTAAAGTTCATTTGACTTGAATGTACCAAGACGAAATTGCAATTATCACGCATTTTACGCAGTAAATATATTCGGTGTGGGTGTTGCAATTTGTCCCCGTAAACAAACAGGTGATAAGAAAACAACTGGGTGGGGACTAAATTTACACGCGGCTAGACGATTTCAAGTGCAAGGTCATACAGGTGAAAACAAATTTTAAATAAATACCTAATTTATTATTATTTACTAATTATGTTTCTTTCTTATCAATAGAAACAAATATCAACCAAAATCTCTAAAAATCAATTTAGTTATATCTGAAATTTAGCTAAACATCTACTTATATTGTGTCGGTTAAATGCACAATTTCAAAACATTTAGTTTTGGCAAAGGTTGCGAGAGGAAAGTTGTCAGTTATAAAATCAAGCTCAAAACATTAAAATGAAGTTTTGGCTTCCTTTCAGGAGACAAACAAATAGCAACTGAAATAAGCAACGTAAAAATATATTTACTGTTATATGTAGTAGTTTCCGACCCTCTGCAAAATTAAAATTTACTGTTTCTAGTACTTAAAACTGGCCAAAAAACAAACTCGTTATGAGACCTGAAGCAATATAATAAACAACAAATTGAAGGTGTATTTTTATGAACCAAGGTGAAGGTAAAAGTACAGTGACACTTTACAGGGCAAATATATAAATATATAGAAAGCATTTAAATAGAAATGCCATTAGACTCTAAGGACTTTCTGAATTAATTATATTATATGAGGGATTTTATTGTGCTATATTTGCAATTCCTCATTTCTCCAAGGACAACTCGACATTGTGCAAATGAGAAAATTGTTATATAAGTATAATGACTTTATTGTATCATAAACTAAGATGAATCTGTTGCTATGGTGGTACCCAAAACATCAATCTCTTAAACTATCTTTCACCTTGCACCTCCGTACGTTTTAATTTCACCACGCCCACGTGACACTTTCATAGGCTTGTTTCGTTTGACTTCCAATGTAGGCGAGATCAGTGACTTTATTGCAAATCGTAAATGTATTGTCACCTTTCGCGAATTGCATTGTGCATTGTGTGAGACGAAAATAACCAAATGACATCGACGTCGCCGTGAGCTAGCAACAAATGCAAACCGCGAACAATGAAAAAACATCGGACGTAAAAACATAAAGCAATAAAATAATAACTTTGATATTACAATCCAGCAAAACCGTTATTATTTACCTTAGGTCGGAGTACGATTAGTGTGAAGTGTTTCTGCGGCTCAAGTTGGATCATCATACAATTCGCAATTTGCAAACCCAAACGGAAAACGTAAAACGATCTTTCCACGCGCCTTGAGTCATCAAGAACACGGAGTGCAATAACACAATACCCGAGTGTCATCAGGTCACGGAAACCACGAGCTCAGCAATTATAGAAAAATATTGCAATGTCTTGTAGAAAGGTGTAATAGTTTAGTCTATGTCCTCTAGAGGAATTATTTAAATATGTAAATTCTTTGATAAAATTAAAAATTACTCAAATTATACAGAGAAAAATAGCAAACTAATTGAAGATTAATATTGACGTGGTTTTCAGTTTTGCGATGCAGAAACCAGTCGCCTGTAATCATGAAGTAGGTAATCATGTTTCATCATAACAAATCTGTTGAGACGAAGTTGAAACGAACGCAATTTGTGTGATTCTACTGCGTCATTATATTCGATCATCGAGAATACGCGAATGTATTTATTACAAGAAATTTCCTAATCATTAACTATCGCTTTAAGATTGTTCAATTAAAATTCACTGTGCTAGGATTTATTTTCGAATAAAGTATTTTATTTTTTGTATGTGCGAATGCTGCGAGTACGTACCGAATTTACGTCTACGCATTGATTATTTTTGCAGGTTTTGTGGGGAGATAATGAGCGTGAAATGCTGCCAGGCTGTATTGACAGTGCATATTCATGCTCGCCCCACGTTTTCCTGTTACCATATGGCCGACAAATTCAATACGATATGTTTGAAGGGGTTACACCCACCTGCGTCCGTTAAAATGTACATATGTACATATCTGAATTATTTTTATCACATCATTAAACTAATGCCCTTCTGGAGTTCTAAGAGTTATAGAAATAATATTTCTAGTAATATTTTCTAATTGGACTTACCAACGTGCGACAAATTAGAGAGCTCTGAATCTGGAACAAAATGAAAACATGTTAACTTTGAAGGATTCACTGTTTAAAAAAGAAGTAATTTGTATTTCGTGCTGATAATTCATAACAGAGTGCGGAAAGGCATCAACATGTTTGTTGTTTACACAGGCCGGTTAAGTCTTATCTTGTGTTGAAAATATACACCAAGTAATATGAAGGAAAGAAATAAATAACGGCATCTTTGTTTTCATTGTTATTGCATAAATTAATTGTTTTCTCTGATTGCAGCATGTTGTGCAAATATTAATAGCGAAGATATTTCCGTTTTAAAATAAAAGTTTTCCTGTTTCCCACACAAAGTTAAACCAAATCATTCCCGTTTCAGAAGACTAAAAGGCATACAATTTAATTTCTATTTGATATTTACTGAGCGGAAAACACATTACCAGTTCTTTATATTTTATTTTTCACATTCCCCTCGTTTTCTCATAGATTTTTGCGCCAAATAAAATAAGCTTTCAGCTAAATTGATAAACAAGTCGAGAGTTTACAAGCTTGTCGTTTTAAGTTAAACCACCGATTACCTCGGTTGCACCAAAGCACAAAAAACAAGTTAGCAAAAGTGGCCTCGGTAACCAATAATATTTAGATTGATTTACATTGATTTAAGTAATTGCTATTTATTTTACAAAAATAGTACGATTCGATTAGAGGATGTAAATTGTTATTATACGTTTTGTTTGATTTCTTAAATCAGTTAAATTGATTAAACAATAATAATTAGCAGCCTCAACAAGCATATAAAGTAAAAATAGGAACACATACAATCAGTTTATTGGCATTCATAAAAATATTAATTCGTGTTTTAATTTTGTATTTTTCACGGTTAGAACGTAATTTTTACTCGTTCTACTCGTAATCTGATTTCTAAGATTTCTGAAACGTTTCATGTTTAAATTGGAGTGAAAAAAACACTCGATTTTTTGTTGGCGAATTATCGCGCACTTTTTGAGTGTTTGCTTTATGAGATCAGTCGCAATTCTGACGCCACCAACGACGACATCGGCCAGAGTTTCTAGCTTTTTGTCGCTTTTCCAAGTGCGTCATTATCGCTGAGATCCTCGCTGTGAAACTCTGATAATATTTAAATCCATACAATTTAAAAACACACTACTCGTATTAATGTTAATACTGCATTTATGTATTAATACTGAATAAATATGCCTACAATTGGAATTATTATAAAACCTCGCAACAACTACATTTTATGTGGAAAGATTGGCGTCAAGTTCAAGGATTAACTCTAAATTTGATTGTTGCTTTAGTTTGAATTTTTAGACTTAGGCCGAACAGTTGTTGCTCCATGTTTGTTAATAGTCAATGGTCATGCGCTTGCCCGGGTAGTAAATTGAATCATAGCCAAAAAAACAAGCATCCAAGAAGGTCTCCCAAAATTCTAATGTTTTCTAGGTGTTTTCTGGTCGGTTTATGTTCTAAAAAAATTCTGGCATATATCTGATTTATCGTTATAATAAATTAAAAAATATATAATTCCTCATATAAAGAAAGCACCTGCCCAAAACAGTACCAGAATAATTTAGTATTCGCTATAGGGTTTAAAGATGCAACTGTAGTAGCACTCAGTAGAGTAGCACTCACTTTTTGAGTAGAATTGAACTACATGCGCCACCTATTCGTGTCTGAATGTACTAATGTAGCAAATGAGTGTAGGTTTCTACACATCGGTAGCCTACTACGTATAGTACAGCAAACTGTAATTGAACATATGACCTTGAGTCATAATGACTGTGTCGATTAGCCTACCGATGGCGCCACGAGTTTAAAAGTTAATAACATTTGTACAATATTTATACAATTTTCTGACTTTACAGAAAACTAACACAAATATAAAATGCAGTACCTGTATCATTGAGCAATCCTTGAATCGGATCATCGTTGAATTCTTCTCCTTCCGATGACGCTAAAAAAGAAGATAAAACATTTATTAAACAAGTGAAATAATTGCATCCGTAAATTATTAAACTTATACTCTTAAATTTGGTTAAAAAACAACAGGTATTATAAAGTATTATGGTAGAATTTATCACAACTCTATTGAAGCTCCATAATATCAAATATGAATATCATGCGGATAACAATGAACGTTTAACAACAATTAACAAGAAATAATAACAAGGAAGAGTGAGGTATGTTAGGATTTGCATGCAACCAGGAACTGAAATATTTCCCAGTGTACTCTCGCAAATTCTCACGACTTGACCTTTAAACTGTCGAGTGATTCACTTTACGGTTGCAATTGTTACCTACACGGCTAGAAATTAATTAATCTAATCACCTAAGTTACTATACACATTATTAATGTAATATAAACTTTTTGATTTTAGTGATCTTAGTGATATATTTTTATCGGCAGTTCCAGAGATATATTTTTTCCATTCAGGATGCAAAACAAGATATTTAAGTTAAGTACTTGTTTATAATTTGCATAATTTTTATATATTGCTAAAAGTCTAACAAAATCATAAAAATGAAATGTTATATTCACACGATTAACTAACATTCTTTATTTATTTTTGTTCTTGTTTACATTTCCTTATCCACTCATCCTGTTTATATGCTTGAAATAAAAATTCCACATCCGTCACATTTCTAGTTTTAAAAATGTCTTTAGTTTCAATTTCGAATACGGAATATACTAATATCATCAACTTGAAATTTGATAATGTAAATATCTATACTTATTAGTAATATTTGAAATATGTTATCAATTAAAAATTAATCAAAACAACCACTCAATTCAATTACTTATTTAAAGATAAGTGTATTCGATGAAAATCATGTGCAAGTTTTCTACAAAATATAAAAATCTAGTATAAAATTACACACTCGCATCAATCATTCAAAAAATCTCCTGTTGTTGTCCTGTTACGTATTTCAATAAAATTATAAATTGTGTGTTTTGTTAAAGCAATTTTTATCAGTTCATTATAAAAAATAAAAAATCGTATTTTACTGTGGATGAAATTGTAATAAACATTCAAAATCTGCAAAGTATGCGGATGTGCTACTCGTGGTCTCGCTTTTTGATACATTACGAATTATCAAGGTGAATCGCATTATTTTTCACGATGGCACCCATCCGTAAATAAAGTGTTGAGCAGCCAGCGGCCGCAGGTACACACGTAATGTAAATGTTTATAACACAACATGCCACAGAACTTCCATTCACAACTCGCGACAGACGAAAATTTATATAATTCGTTATTATGATGATGACGATACAACAATACTTTACTGTCATTTTTATTTCACAACAATCTACAGATTTAGATTTTTAAAGTTATCTATGAGATTACTACAATTGAAATATTATAAATCTAATCTAAAACAAAAAAAAAGATAAAATATTTGAGCACTTCAGATATTCTACGCATGAACTCAAACATACCCTCAATTACGTAAATCTCTCAATACTTTTTTTGGGCCAAATTTTCGTATTCAAGACAGTAGTAAATAAGTATAGCAAATTATTTTGCATAACCTGTATTTCTATTTATAAAAGATTTATGATTTCAAAGCAAATTATTGAAAATTACCAAACAAACGTTGATTCCCATATCCATTCTATACTAATCTCACAAGCAATTCACATAATTATCTGAAGCAAATTTAGTAAAACTTTGTTTTTGTTTAGCACGAGTTGTGACTCTACCAGTGTGTATCCATTCAATAACTTCCTCCATTATAATTATTTACGTCTACTTTTTTGTGTGGACAGTGGATGTTTCGTTTTCGATTAACGTGATTACGTGCCTGAGATTCAGGCTTGATTTCGATAATCACATCGTACGCTTCTTATTTATTGCCAGCGTGTTGACGCGACATGGTTACATATGGAATTCAGCAAGGCATATAACTAATATAATTAAAGTGTAATTAAAGCCGGCCAGTGTGCAGGCTCCCATAGCTAGTCTTCAACTTCAAACTAGCGCTTAAATTTAATATTGGGTTTTATTGCTTTGTGAACAAAAACAAAACTAGACAAATGCCAAACTTGGGTTTAAAAAAATAGAAGTATAAGCTTCCTGTATGATTAAGCTTTTGGAGGATTTGATTGCTTTAATTAATAAGATCAAGTTAAAAAATATGTTAATTTTGAAAAATATTATATGGGCACTTTTCTCACTGCTATTAATTGTCAATTACCGCCAATTATTGATGTAATTAATTCAAACAAAAACTCAACACATGCGTTTGGAACTTTTTCTACAAGTCAAACGCTTCATGGTTGAAGGTTAAGTTAGGTCGATTCTACAAATGTGAATTGTATAAATTTTATTACACAAAAATAGACAAAACGTCTACCTAACACGGAATTTATTTTAATCACTTTCTTTTACAACTTCAATGATAAAATTGCACTAGAAATACTATAATCAAGTCAGTGTTTAAAAATTAACGCTTATCCACTGTTGAACAAATATTAATTATAATTATTTGTACCTATTTCGTCAGAATACCGTGTCTTCCGGTTTCAGTTGCACCTGATTATAATAAATAATAATAATTACATGCTTCGAATGTTGAATTTAATGCAGTGTGTACCAATTCGAACGCAAACAAAAAAGAAAAAGTGAAACAGTGAAATACTTTGGCATTCAGTACCAACAGAAGAAAGTGAAAATCATATACCAGGCGTTTAAACAAAATATAAACTAAATCATGAAATATACCACGGTAATTATCAGTGAACTAAACACTGTGTATTCATTATTATTACTAGTAGTTCTTAGCGCATTGTTCAACCACAGCGTAATAAAATTATACACGCGATGAACTTTAATTCATTATTTTATTTAAGTTTTTCCTGTCCAGAGTTGCGTAACAAAACCAAACCGAACAATGTCAGAGTCGCAGCAAGTCATCACGAGTGGCAGAGTATTTGTAAGTAGTGAATCACATTGAACTTGACATCAGCTAATTACGCGAACGAAGATTTTTGTGTATACTATGTTAACAATAGCAAATAGGTACGCTCTGAACCTAAATTCTACGCAACTTATATTTTTTTGTGATGTCATGTATGGTGTATTACTAAAAATAGTAATACATATCCATGCCTGGAAATACGTGCGTGATAATAGCAACGTGCTCTTTTTCACATTTTGCACATTCATAAATTTTAATGATAATCACAAAGCAAGTGCGTTGAAAGATTATCTCGACACTTGTCAGCTATTTTACAAACGGTAGCGTGTTACTGAAAATATGATTGATTTTGGCTTGCATTCTTCAAATACTTGAGAATTTAAAGTCACTTAGTGTCAAAATTTGAACAAACAAACATTGGTACTCTAAACGTCTGCAAAAAATTGAAACCTAGAGAAAATACGCACTCTTTTATAAGCAAGTAACGCGCATTAACAGGTTGTAAACAGTAGGCAAATTATTATCAAGGACGATGAATTAAATTACGCTATCAAAAATAATTCAACGACTTTCGGCAATCACATGCACCAAAACATCTTTTCAACCATTTTAATAGTAAACAATTGCATTATGAATGATTAACTTAATTATTTAATAATAGACATCCTAATAATGCATCCCTGAACTGATCTAAGAATGGAAATATTCCTTTATTACTTTTATTATCAAACCATGGCAAATTTCTATGTAAATATTGCGAAACGGTGATTCTTTCATATTCATGCTGAATAACACTGTTCTAATTAAATTAAAGTTCAATGTAAGCGTCCTTGATTCTAATAAATAATATAAGTACACCGCGCGGCTGTTAGTCTTTCGATCGATTCGCAATCATTAAATCATTGAGTTTGTATAAAATTTGTATGCACTTGTCGCAATCTTGTTGCATTGCGACATGTTCCGCTAGAGTCGACCGAGAACTTTTTGCGGCGCACACGTCAATAACAACACCTATTTCATTTCATAACGCGCAAAAATTGAAGTTTATTCGGAACTTGATTGGATATGGTATCCATAGCGAAATAGTTCCTTCCTTTCGAATGATTATAAAATTATACGCTGGATTGTTATTATTGATTGACGCTTGGCTCGTGCATGCACAAGAATGACTTTCTTAAGACACGCTTTGGATCAGTCGACTTGACCTTAATTCGAACGCGTTTGGCGCTAAACTCTAATGTCGTACGAGCACTTAGTTTACTTACATACTTATCTAATTAACACATAACACATTCCGAATGATACAATTTGATCCAAACACTTTGTAACACTCGTAATAACATTTATTACGGACGAAATGACGGCAGAAAAATGTGGAATAAAAAAAGTTTAAAAGAATTTGCATACAATAGAGCTATAAATTTTAATTCATCAGTTTATCTGAGTTTATCTACTCAGTAATTTTTACGAAGCGTGCGGAAAATCATCATGCATATTTTTATATGCCATTTAATCATATGCAGTTAATTATTCATTTTATAATGTATTATAAGAAATTGCCAATTTGCATTATCTGCGTCCTGACCATGCTCTGATTTCATCGTTATCAATGTAGTCAATACAGTCTCAATTGAACTTGTTACTTATTTCAAGATACGTGTTACGTACTTGAACTGAATTTTTTTTTGTTTTTGCTAGGTACATGTAATTGATATAGGGATTTCGTTATGGTTTACACCTTGCACAATTTTATAATTTTTGTGTAAGTTACTCTGATTGTTTGATTAAGCTAAGATACTACTACGTTAGTAGTTTTCCGATTAGATTTTGCTTTCGAGAAAATATGTGACACAAGTTGTAATAAAAGTTGACGCAACTGAGATAATTTTTGCGTTAGTATGGAGTATATGATAATAGCGATAATAATCTGGACATCATATGATGGAGATGTAAAATTTAGTATCTAATTAATTAACGAAAACATCATGCTTTTCATGTTTCTTTGTTTCTAAGCGGCATTGTGACGAATTA